CCCATTAACATATCCTTCAATTCCTTTCACTCTCATGTGCTTACTTAGCATTCCCTTAAACTCATCTTTGCTGGCTGACTCAAGTTACTCCCTGCAGTAGTGATTTCCACAATCTAACTGCACTCTGGTTAATATCAGTTCTCATGACTGTCCCATTAGATTTATTAATGATCATCATATATTAATGGCCACTAAGTTTAGACTTCCCAACACGAGGAAATATCTTCATTACATGCACTATCAAGTTTTATAAAGCTCTATTAGGTCATCCACCAGTCTTCATTTTTCTAGTGTATACAAACCCACTTTGTACAGGCTTTCTTGTTTGTTATAACCTCTCATCTTGGTACCATCCTTGTGAATCGTTTTTTCAACTTCTCCAGTACCTTTATATCCTTTATATCATCACGGACACCAGTACTCTATGACCCAGAACTATGCACAGGTACGACTGAAGCACTTGCAACTATCTTTAGCCAGAAGTGCTGAGTGGATAATCCATATCAGCTGTTTCTTGAGGTCAGAACATCACAGATGCTAGTCTTCAGACAATTTGATAAAACAATCGGTGAAGGCACAGGCTACTGGGAAGGTTCTGTCCCATACCAACATTCTGGCAGTAGTAGTGAAGACATTTGCTCCAGAACTAGCCATGCACCTAGCCAAGCTGTTTCAGTACAGCTACAACATTGGCATCTGACTAGCAATGTGGAAAATTGCCCAGGTAGGTCCTGTTCACAAACAGAAAGAACAATCTAACTTGACTAATTCCACATTATCAGACTACTTTTGACCATCAGCAAAGTTTTGGTAGGCATCATCACCAGTGCAAGCAAACAGCACTTACACAGCAATAACCTGTTCATTTGTGCTCAATTTGGGTTGTGTCAGGCCCACTCAGATCATAATCTCATTATGGTCTTCGAACAAGCATGGACAAAACAGAACGTGGCATCAATGAGCCTGAGTAAAACTGAAATCAATGGGAATCAGGAGCAAGGGCATTACAAGCACAAAGAAAAGTGGTTTGGTTGTTGAAAATAAATTATCTCAGTCCCTGAACATTTAATCTATTGTATCTGCATCCCAGATTCCTTTCCTCCTTATAACAATTTCCTACCATTAATCAAGGGCTATGAAGTGAAGATAATATATTTGGATTTTGCAAAGACCTTCAATGAGGTATCACATGGCAGATTCATGCAGAGTCAGACAAACAGGCAATTTTCATCACTGAATCTCCCACTGTCAACATTCTGGGGCTACCATTGGCTAGAAACTGAACAGACCAACCATATAATTATGTGTGGTTACAATAGCAGGGCAAAAGCTGGGAATTCTGTAGCAGATTACTCACCTCCTGCTCCTCAAAGGTGATCCACCAGAAGGCACAGGTCAGAAACATGATGCAATATTCTCATTTTGCCTGGATATGTATAGCTCCAATAGCACTCAAGAAGCTTGACAAAATCCATAACAGAGCAACCCACTTGACTGGCATCCCTTCAATGCCAACACACAGTGGCAGCAGTGTGTACCATCTACAAGATGCAATGCAGTAAGGTTCCTTAGATAGCAGTTTCTCTATACCTAGAAGAACAAGGTCAATGTATCCATCGGAACACCACCACCTGCCAACCAAGCCACTCATCATCCAGACTTGGAATTAAGTTGCTGCTTTTGTACTGTCACTAATTCAAATCCTGGAGCTCCCTCCTAATAGTGGGTGTACGTGACAAACAGTTCACATCCAATGTGCCACAACAGGGTGAGAAGAGTGCTGTGAAATTTTCAGGAAGAGCACTGCTTTACTGGATTTTCAAGGCAATGCTACTGTTCACCTCCAGAACCCTGGTATTAATTATTGAAGGCAGTATCCTCTGACACCAGGTGCTCCTATTGACTGTATTTGCACAAGCCTCCAGAGCCTTGTACATGTAGACTGCAATACTGTGCGCACACAGAGATTCACATCAATTCAACTGGAAACAATGGGTGCACCATGGAGTTGTTTGTCTCATTGGCGTGTGTATTGATACCGAAAAGATTGGGAACTGCTGAGCTGCATCAGGTGGACTGCAGCAGTAAAATAGGCAGATCACTATCACATTCACAAAGGCAATGATGAATGGGTAATAACTATTTGTTTAATATTCATTCATAGGAAAAACCAAAAAGGAGCAATCATGTCCCTGGGAATGTACTAGAGACCCTCAAACAGCCAGAGAGGAATGGAAGAGCAGATATGTGGGCAAATTTCAGAGAAGTGTAAAAGTATAAGAAGGGCAGTGGGAGATTTCAACTTCTCCAACATTAACTGGGGTAGGCATTGTGTGAAGGGTATGTACAAGAAAAGTGTGGTCCTGGACTTAATTTTAGGTAATAAAGCTGGGCAAGTTGTTGAAGTATCAGTTGGGGACCAATTTGCAGACAGTGATCATAACTCTGTTAGACTTGAAATCAAAATTCTAAACAGGGAGAAGGCTGATTTTAATAACGTAAATTAGGTAAATCAGTGTTAGAGTAGTGGATAAGCATTCAGGAAGGAATTTGGGAGAGTACAAGCATAACATTTTCCAATAAAGTTAAAGAATAGGTTCAACGAATCCAACAGTCCCTGAATATCAAGGGACATACAAGATTGGATAAAGAGAAAGAAGGAGGCTTCTGACAGATACCAAGGGCTCAAAACTGCATAAGTCCAGATGAGTAAAGAATGTCCATGAAGGAACCTAAAAAGGAAATAAGGAGAGCAAAAAGGTGGCATGAAGGAATAAAGGCAGGCAAAATAAAATAAGTTATTTTACAAATACAGTAAGGGTAAAAGGATAACTATGGAAAGAGTTTGGCCCATTAAGTACCACAGGGGTAATTTGTGTGAGGAGCTGGAGGACATAGGGTTCTAAATGAATACTTTGTGTCAGTGTTCACTAGTGAGAGGGAATGATGCGGGTATAGAAATCAAAGAGAAAGTCTGTGATATAATTAAAGAAATTAGCATAGACAGAGCATAGTTTCTGAGTGGTCTGGCAGGCTTAAAAAGTAGATAAATCTCCAGGGCCAGATTAAATGATTAAATGCTGAGTTAGGCAAGGGAGAGAATAGCAGGGGTATGGACAATAGTTTTCACATTTTCTCTGGCACAGGAGAGGTGACAGCGAACAGTGGTACTGTTATTCAAGAAGGGAGCAAGGGATAAACCAAGGAAGTACATACTTGTTAGTTTAACCACAGTGGTGGGGAAACCATTGGAAGTAATTCTGAGGAACAGAATTAATCTGCACTCGGAGAGCTAGAGATTAATCAAGAACAGTCAGCATGGCTTGATAAGGGGAAGGTTATGTCTGACCAACTTGATTGAATTTTTTGAAGAGGTAACCAGGTATGTGGATGAGGACAATGCATTAGATGTAGTCTACTTGGACTTCAGCAAGGCCTTTGATAAGGGCATGCATGGGAGACTGAAAGCAAAGCTAAGAGCCCGTGGGATCTAAGGAAAGTTGAAAAATTGAATCCAAAATTGGGTGACTGGCAGGAAGCAGAGGCTAATGGTCTGGGGGTGTTTTCATGATTGGAAGTACTGATTGCATCCCCCAATTTGATGTAATTGCATTTTTGAATTCATATCCAAATTATTAATGTATATCATGAGCACCATTATTTCTGGAGCACCAGTTCCTACTTTGCATTACTTTTAATCTCTGCTCTGTTTTCTGTTTCATAACCAGCTTGTAATCCATTATTCTGCCTATTTCCTGGGCTCCACATGCTCCAACTTGAGTCTCCTATATGGTACATTATTGAAGGCCTTTGGAAAATGCAAATATGTCATCTCTATTGCACTACCCTCATCCTACTTTATCTGTTACTTCTTCAAATAATTCAGTTATGCTTATCAAGCAATGCCCTTCCTTTTGAAAAGCGTACTAATTTTATTATATTTTCAATTTGTTGATATTTCTCCGTTATACCTTTGATAAAGGATGCCATTATCTTCCAATCACTGTCACGAAACTAATCAATCTCATCTGTTTCCATTTGTCTGATAAACAATAGCTGCTCCCTTTCCTAGTGAATATTTATGAACAGGTAATAATGTCTCTTATATCTTCCATAACTTATTTAATCTCTGCTAATGAAAACCATCCAGACCAAGACTTTGGCTCACTTCTTACATTTATTTACATACTTTTCTCCCACTTCCCACCCCTTCAGCAATTAGTTGCTTAGCACTATGCCCTTCTAAGAATGGTTGAGCCATTCATGTCCTTTGTCCCATTCCATATGAATTCTGTTTCTACGTTAGTATTAGTTATGTTTTTTTTCTAACAACGTGTTATCTCTAATTAGTTCAGCTGCCTACAGTATTTTCTTCCTTCTCTCTCTTTCTAAATATGTTAATGCCTGCATTATTTAACCACTAGTCCTATTCCTTGTTACACCATGGTTCAGTTTTCCCTCACACTTCTAGCTCCTTACTGCAGATTATTGCCTCCAGCTGGGCCTTTCTCTGCATATTCTTCGCATTGGGAGGTGCACAGTTACAATTTCAAACTGTAAAATTGTCTACTCTTTTAGAAATAAATCATTTAGTCATTGCCTAAAGTAATGAATCACACACCAATAAACATTATGTTTACATCAACTTTTGCCTCCCAATTTAATGAAATATTCATATTTGAAATCCTTGTGAACACATGTACAAGAAGAGACAGACATATTCAGCCTGATACCCGCAAAAACATGCACACACAATTGGCAGACACGTGCACATAGGTCAAGATAACGAACAGCTTTCTGTACCTTTTAAAATGCAGTTAGTGGTGAGATCATCAATAAGGTAAATGAACTGTGAAGTGAAAGTGATATGGAGATTATTAATAAACTGCCCTTACAATGATTAACACACAATATCGCTACAATCTAATGAAGAGTAAAAAGGTCACATTGTTGACCCTGAACATTGACCCTTACTCATCCTACAGAGAACTATTTAACTCCATGAATTGAAGCTTGGACACACACATAATCTGCAGCACCATGACGATTAGACAACCCCAAACGGTGAGTCTCTAGTGAAAACTGGATTTTGAAACTTATAATACAAATGCCGTGGACGGGAGAGAAAGAAAAACAGGGAGGACAAGTTAGAGACAGGGCAAGACAGAAAAATAAAGTGTAACAGAGATTGAGCGAGATAGAGGGAGTAGGACAGAGGGAGAGAGATAGGAAGAGAGAAATAATCAGACAAGAAGAGATAGCAATTGAGAAACTCCAGATTTGTGTGTTAATAGAGGCAGAGCCCTGAGTTAGTCAGCCTCCTCTCTCTCTTCCTATTGTTCTGTGTTGCTATCATTCTAAATTTGTCCATTTGTCTCTCAGTTCTCTTGCTCCATCTCTATTCTCCTTGTCAATCATCTTTTGTTCTCTCCCTCATCTCTGTAGTTCTCCCTATATTTTTCGCTCTCACTGTGGCTCTCATTTTCTGTTGCTTCCTTGCTGTATCTCATTCTTCATCTCTTGTTCTCCCTCTGTCTCTCTTGTTCCCACATCTTTTGTCTTGTCGCTCTCTTGCTGTTACTCTTATGCTCCCTCTCTTTCTCAATCGTTGCCACTCCATTTCTTGCATCCTTTCCTTTTTGTTCATTTCCGAACTTTTCTGTTTCCCATTTTTCTGTCCCTTTAAGCAACTTCAGATTTGTGCCAAAGAATTGTGTGACGTCAGTATCAAGTAAAACCTGGAACAAGTGAAGATTGGATAGCCTGGGATCAGGCCAGATCGAGTTAGGAATAAGCAATAATTGGGCAGAAATTGAGTGGAGCTGGGACCACAAGGAATCAGGCAGAGGGTTAACTCCTTGACATTCCTCAATTATTACTATGGTACTAGGGAATAGGGACAGAAGCCGCTCCTAAAATATTTTAATGCAGTTCTTTACTATTTGAATCTCCTTCTGGGTATTTCTTAGTCTGTTTATTGTAGTTATTCTCATCCTCTGTACTACTGATTTGCAGATGCGGGTTTACCCTTCAAATAATAGCTCCACATTGTTCCAGACTGAGAGAGATAATGAACTCCCCCAAATTATAGGACCAACCTGGGGGTCAGACTGTCAGAAGTACCAGAGTTTTAAAAAAGTAGCTCCAACCTGAATCTCAGGCAGATGTAAGAATCTACAGCCACTAATGAATAGAGTTCTCCCTGTGGTCCCATCCAATATCTTCCCATCAAAAACAAAATACTCAAAACATTATCTGGTCATCTGTCTGGCTGCTGTTTGCCAGATCCTATTGCCACATTAACAAGTGACTAAACTTCAAAATTCTTCAAATGTTAGCTGTTTCTGAGAGATATGATCTGGCGTGAGATAAAGAAATTTTTCTTTTGTATTCACTAACCAGTTGCTCATTGCAGAATTTAAAACTCACTGAGCCCTCAGGGCTGGACTGTGGCCGCACCACAGCTTGGACCAACACTAAGAATTTGGCCACATACAGGAACTTCAAGGTAAGTCCCAACATGATGGCAGATGGCACTGGGACAGAAAACATTTTCAGTGAGTGATGGGGATGGTGGGTGCTTGTGTGTGTGGGAGAGGCACTGAGAGAAAGATTAGGACCAAGGAGCCCACAGCAGTATCACCATGGCATCAGGTCTTGGAGAAATGGGGGGGGAGCTAAGTACCAGAGAGCAGTCGAGTCGGTTTTATCTGTATCTGGGCAAGAGATCGGTACCGGGGGAAGGGTGTAGGAATACTGGATAATGGGGGTATAGGAATTCTGGATAAGTGGAGTGTAGTAATACTGGATGGGAGGGTGTAGGGATACTGGATATGAGTAGGTGTAAGGATACTGGGTGGGGGGGTGGTATTTGTAGGGATACTGATACAGGCGGTGTAGGAATACTGGGTGGGGGGTGTAGGAACACCAGAGGGGAAGGAAGAGAGACCAATAGCTAGGATCAGTAAAGGGGCTAGAGGGGATTATAGCAGTACCTACAGGAAAAGAGCAGTAATGGGAAGGGAAGAGAACAGTAACAGGATGGGGAGAGGGCAATACAGGAGATGGAGAGGACAGTAGGGGGGAAACAGGGCAGTAACAGGAGATGGAGAGGACAGTAGGGGGAGAGAGGGCAGTAACAGGAGGGGTAGAGGGCAGTAATAGAAGGGGGAGAGGGCAGTAGTAGAGACAGGGCAGTGGGGCGGAGGGCAGTAGAAGGAGAAGGAGTGGGCAGTAATAGATGGGTGAGAGTGCAGTAATAGGAGGGGGAGAAGGCAGTAATAGAAGGGGAGAGGTCAGTAGCAGGAAAGCGGAGAGTGGACTCGAGTTGGAGTGGTGGTGAGATAGCGTCAGTTCCACCCCCGAATGGAAATATCTGCAGGGATTACCATGTGGAGAGGGTTAAATGGTACGTTTCCTCTGCTTTTGATAGTCTGGATTGCTCCAGGAACGGGTGCTGAACACGTATTGGCTGATGCACACTAACCAGACAGTGGAATTCGTTAAGAAGAAGGTGAGTGGTTAATCCAAGCCACCAGCAACCTGGGATCTCAGTCAATGTTTTTTTTAAAATACACCTTAGAATTAGACAGCTCAGGAAGAAATCATTTAACATAACATGCATGTGCCAACTCTTTAATAAAGTTATTCAATTAGTTCCACTCCCTGCTGTTTCCGTATTCCTGTAAATGTTCTTTTATCCAATTCGCCTTTGAAAGTTACAGTTAAATTGCTTCCACTGCTTTTCAAGCTATATATTCAACTTGATGCCGAAAAGTATACTTCCTCCTAAACTACATTTCCTTTCATTTTTGCTGTGCGGACCTCTGACTTCTGTGCATGGCAGTGACTTCCAGAACTGGAATTCAACAGGCCCGCGTTCCTTTTGAGATACGCTGACGCTCCAAGCAGCTGCACACCACACAGCTCAAAGGGACCATTGCTTATGTAGAGATAGTAGGAACTGCAGATGATTGAGAATCCGAGACAACAAGGTGCAGAGCTGGATGAACACAACAGGCCAACAGCATCATAGGAGCAGAAAGGCTGACGTTTCGGGCCTAGACCCTTCATCAGAAATGGGGGAGGGGAAGGGGGTTCTGAAATAAATAGGGAGAGAGGGGGAGGCGGATAGAAGATGGACAGAGGAGAAGATAGGTGGAGAGGAAACAGACAGATCGAAGAGGCGGGGATGGAGGCAGTAAAGGTGAGTGTAGGTGGGGAGTTAGCGAGGGGATAGGTCAAGGGGGCGGGATGAAGTTGGTAGGAAGGAGATGGGGGTACGGATTGAGGTAGGAGGAGGGGATAGGTGGGAGGAAGAACAGGTTAGGGAGGCGGGGATGAGCTGGGCTGGTTTGGGGATGCGGT